GTTTTAAGCATAAATTATTGCAAAGTAATTCCGTAAATAAATGTTAACATAGTAGTGTTACAGAAACAAAATAAAGATAAAAAGTTAATATGTTCACCCAACATTCTTTAGTACATTATTTTAGTGGAGGTATTGTTTGAGTTACTGGACACATGAAGACAAACGGGTATTGCTAAAAACAAACAAATAACTGGAGAAACTCAGCAGGTCTGGCAACATCTGTGAAGAGAAAGCAGAGTCAACATTCAGGGTGCGATGATCCTTCTTAAGACCTGATTGTAGCGAGGTTGGTACATTTGCTGAAGACTAGTGGAGGGAGTGGGGGAGGTGTAAATGATAGGTGGAGATGGAACCCACAGAAAGAGGTAATGGTGAGCTGGGGAGAATGAAAAGCCGATAATGGGGACTGTAGTGATTGGAACCAGGTGGATCTCATTGACCATGCGATCTTTGTTTGTGCTTGTTAACCTGGGCAAATCAGGAAGCCCTGGCTGACCAATATAAATGGGGATTTAGAATCTCCTCAGTTCAGGCGACTGACTCTGAGCTGGCTGGCCACAACCAGTGTACTGTGCACAAGTAAAATAAAGGATGAGTTGGTGATGGAATACCAGTCTCTGTGTGGTTATTTGAGGTAACTGTGTGGTTATTTGAGGGACCATTAGTGGTGAAAATGGTTTGGTTGTGGTGAAAGCAGCCTATGTGATGACAAGGCCTGGTCTGTGAGTATCAGGGAAGGACATGGAAGAAGGTGTTCAGGTTCTAAAATTTGATATTGAATCCTGAAGGCTGCAGGGTCCCCAAGTAGAAAATGAGATAAACATTAAATCTTGTCCTTTAGTCCACCTTCTGTCTCATATTATTGATAAAACAATCCTTTAAACTTTTTGAGAGGACAAATCAATTAAAAGATCTTGAGCAATTAAAAAGTATAAAGAAAATGCAGATAGAACAGAACTATTTATTCCTTCCTATTACTGATCTGTATGGTTCAGAAGAAGTGACTAAAAGCTATTTGAATAGATAAGTTTTATAAGTGAATTCAGTCAGACTTTTAGTTTGAGTAACTTTCAACCTTTAAACTGAGATATTCCATTCTAACATTGCTGCCTTTGCTTGTCAGTGATGTTTATGGCAAGACTGATGATTCTTTTTATTTCAATGACGAAATTATAAGTTATAAACTATTCTTATTCCTACTGGGTTTCAATTAAAAAGTCCTCCTTATCTCCTCCTCCCTGTGTCTTCACTATGTTAAAAACAAAGCAATACAAAGTGACCTTTCGCAGCTTAAGCTTCCAGCAACTCAGACATTGCAACTTCTCACTATGCCAAAAAAAAGTATGTTTATTTTCCATAGATTGCTCAGTGAAATTCTTCTTGGTGATAATAGAGTTATAATTAGATACTGTGAGGAGATTTTCTAAGCTGGAAAGCATTTATGCGCTTCCTTGAAGAATTTGTTGCCCCATATCCTAACACACCAAGTTCCCTTCTCTGTTCTGCTCATTAATTTATAATGATTCCCAAACTTGCAGCATTTGAAATTTAAAGATCTCAAACTTATATTCAATTCTCTCCATGGCTTTGTTCCTTCCTATCTCTGTAACTTCTTGCACCCATATAATCCTCAGAACATTCCTCAAATTCTGACCTCTCGCAGCTCCCTGAATTTCAATGTACCATTCCCTACTGTGCCTTCGGCAGTCTAAACCTTCAACTCCAAAATTAACACCCGAAATATTTCCACCTCTTTACTTATGTCTATGTCCTCCTTTAAGATGGTCCTTAAAATCTACCTTCCTTTTTCAAAGATTTTAGATACCAATCTAATATCTCCTTGTGTAGTTCAGCTTCAAATTTGATTAGAAAATGCTCCTATAAACGGACCTGGTATTCTACCATATTCAAAGCACTGATATATAAATACAAATTTTGTTATTGTGTTTGTTAATATTGATGCACCAAGAACGAGTAGCCTTGCAAACAATTAATGTGTTTTGATTTAGTTGCTCACATTATACATAAAATTTGCACAATGACTCATCTGGCAGATCTTTCTCTGTATTTAGCATTAATCAATGGTTGGTCATTTATGAACATCCCAAATCATTGGCATCCAGTAGCAGCATAAAATTTTGATAGACTGTCACAACTGGATTGAAGAAATGGTTTGGACTTGTGACAGGGCAGATCCAATGATTCCTTGCAATTCCTCTGTGGCCATCTGATTACGGGCTTACGTTTGGTGAGTTGTGCTCAATTCAGTCGATGGTCAGTCTGAAGCCAATAGACAGACTGCATTGAAGAGCACGTAAGAGGGTACAAAGGGGTTGAGGTAGGATAAGTGAGTATAATGTGAGAAACTGTGAAATTGTCCTTTTTGGCCAGAAGAAAGAAAAATAAGCAAAATATCTAAAAAGTGAGAGTTTACGGAATTCAGAAATGCAGAGAGATATGGGTGAATTAATGCATGAATCACAAAAGTAATCAGGAAAGCTGATAGAATGTTCTTATGAGGGGAATTAAACACAAAAATAGGTATTAAAAAGCACAAAGTGCTAGAGAAACTCGGGAGCTGAGTTAACATTTTGTGTCCAATGTAGCTGCTTTTGGACTCCATATGTTAACTCTGTTCCTCTTTCCACAGATGCTACCAAACCTGCTAAGTTTCTCTAGCACTTGTGCTTATATTTAATATGTCCAGAATCCACAATAGTTTGTTTTTATTTGCAGTTTATGATTCAGTTTGATAGGGCATTCTTGAGATCACAGCAGGACGTTTGCGCACAGTATTGGTCTTCTTATTTAAGAAAAGATACAAATGTGCTGGAGACAATTCAGAGAACAATTACGATACTAATACCCAGAATGAGCAGTTTGTCTTATGAGGTAAGGTTTGATGAGCTCGGCTTGCATCCACTTAGAAGAGAAAGCAGTTATTTGATTGAAACATGTAAGATCCTGTGGGAACTTGAGAGGATGATGCGAATGTAGAAAAGACGTTTCCTCTTGTGGGACAATCTAGAACTACAGACCACTGTTAAAAATAAGGAGATGACTATTGAAAACAGAGAATATAAAGATACAGAGAATGTTTTTTCTCACAGAGGGGCTTCAGTTTGAACTTTCTTCCTCAAAAGGCAGTGGGAATAGAGTCTTTGAATAATTTTAAGGCGGTGATAGATGGATCTTGGATGAGAAAAGGGGGGTGAAAAGTTATTGGGAGTAGATCAGAATATGGAGGACTCAGGTCAGCCAGGATCCTACGAATGACACAGAAAGCTTAAGGGGCTATTCTGCTCCTAATTTGTATGTTCATATTAAATGTGGTTCCTTGGTAGCATTTTGCCAAATGAAAAGTGAATGATCTATGTCTTGCTGCAAGGTAGCTCGGGAGCAACTTCTTTTTCCAGATCCTCATACTATAACCATTATTAATGATTCCTTCTTCCCAGATACTGCCTTTCTTGCTGTCAAACCTTCTGCAAAATCTTGTCCTCAGCTTCCTGTCTTCACTAATTATGCTCCATTTCCAAATCTTCCTTTCCTCTGCAAATTTCATGAATGATTGTCACTGCCAAAATCCAATGGTCTTTCTTTCCTGACACACCGTTTGAATCCATCCAAAGCCTTAATCAAAGTTACAATTGACATACTGCAGTGGCTCAGAGGTTAGTGCTGCTGCCTCACAGCACCAGGGACATGGGTTTGGTTCCAGCCTTAGGTGGCATTATGTGTGAAGTTTGCACATTCTCCGTGTGTCTGTGTGGGTTTCCTCTGGATGCTTCAGTTTCGTCCCACAGTCCAAAGACGTGGATTGGCCATGCTAAATGGCCTAATAGTGTTCAGCGATGTACAAGCTAGATATGGTAAATATGGGGATAGGATGGAATGCTCTTCAGAGGGTTAGTGAAGACTTGATGGGCTGAATGGTCATTCTATGACTATGAGCAAGGTGCAGTATCCCTCGTTGTCTTGCTCAACCTGCCCATAGGCAAAAACAACTTCCCAAACTCTCCAACACTCGATGAAGAGTCATCTAGACTTGAAATGTTAGCTTGTTTTCTCTCCATGGATGCTGCCTGACCTGCTGTGATGTCTAGCATTCTTTTGTTTTCAGTACTATTCCTCTATTACCCAGTTCAATTGGAATACTCTTGCTTCATTCAACACTTACTTAACCAATTCTAAAACATCTCCAGAGATGACACTTTTTCCCCCTTCCACACTAGCTCCTGCTCACTAATCACATCTCTCCTTATAGATCTTATTGTCTTAGTCCTCCCAGCCTCAACTTAAAATTCTCAATCTTAAGTTTAAAATCACTTCCTAACCTTACCCCTTCCAACTATTAAAACCTCCTCACGTTATACACCTGCCCAAGCCTAGCCTGAACTCATATTTTTCAGTCTATACATACTCCACTTTCTCTACCCCTCCAACAGCAGCTGTTTTCAGAAAACTAGACCCCTGATTCTGCAACTCATTCAATCCCTCTAGTTTAAGACCATTCTTAAATCCAGCTCTATATTCAAGTTTTTAGGCACCCCTCCATGTTTCAGTAGTTTGAATATTTATTCTGTACCATATGGTCCATGGAGCACTTTAAACGATTTTGTTTCTTAGAGTCATACCTACATACAAAATTCTAACAGGTCTTTGGCCCAGCACAACTTATGTTCACTGTTAATAGACATATTTTGATCATTAATGTTTCGGGGAAATACTAACAGCTGTACACTCTCTAAGTATCTTGGTTTTCTGTCCAGTTCTGCTCATGTATCTGTTTAATTTTGCCATTGGTGTGACTCTAATAGCTAGATCCTCTTGAAGTAAAATAAAGATCAGATGCCTAAATGTGATTATTTTCCAGTAAGCTTCTAAAGCTTTTATTCCATTTTTACATTGCAAGGTCTACCCCTTTGCTCTTTAACAGGAACGCCAAGGACATTTGAGATAAAACTCAGGCAGGGAACTGTACAGCATGTAACCAGTTGCAACAACTTACAATCGGGTTTCCAGACGCTCTCATCTCTCAAGTGTTGATGGTAAATTGAACTATAAAATGCCTCTTGTGAAAGATCAGAAATGGTCTGCATCAGGTGCTGATGCCTTAATCGGCCGGTCACTAGGGACCCGTTCGCTGTCGGGTCGAATGCTTCCATGTAAGGAATATTCCTGCCGGCTGCTTCCAGATTCGGGTTGGGGGGGGTGGTGGTTCGCTAGGGTTGCAGCTGTAATCTCAAACCCTCAAGACGACCCACTATAAAAACCACAGCCCAGGACATAGGCGCGTACACACACATATTTGCAGGGATCACGGGCAAGCATGGTGAGTGTGTGCTGTTCTTAAATTACTTTCTCTTTCTCTCCACAGTCAGTTGTGTCTGATGGAAGTGATTCTAACCCTTCTGCCTTTTTCTCCCTCATTCGTTCTGTCCTCCAGTCGAGCAGAAAAACGAAAAAGAAGGAGGGCGGTGCCAAACGGGCTCAGAGAGCTTCATCCAATGTCTTTTCCAGCTTTGAGCAAACGCAAATCCAGGAATTCAAGGAAGTAAGTAACTCTCTGTTGGAGTGTGACGTCCAGAGAGTAGGGCATGTCAGAGTGAAGAGAAATCTCAGAGAGAAAAAATGTGGGGTGAATGACTAAAAATGTGAATTCACTGCGAAGGGGCAAGAAAGGAACTAGGAGGCAAGACAGAAATGTAATTGTCTGTTTCAAGTCCTACTTGCTCCAGAGATTTCCTAACAGGTTGATTAAAAAAAATCAGTTATCAGACCCCGGCACCCGCCCCCCCCCACCCACACCATGTGCGCCCCCACCCCCTACTCACCGTGCCTCAAATATACGTAAATATAATCTTTACAAGTTAGAAATGGCTTGGATTTCTTTGCAGGATAGAGTCAAACTCCTACGTCTGTTTCATCATGTGTTAACGTACAGAACCCAACTGCCTCAGTACTATATATGTAAAATATATTTTATGAATAAAGTATATTTTGAAATAAGAAGTTGATTTTAAAAATATACCTATTTCAAATCTTCAGCAACCCAGTATTTAGTCTTTAATAAACCTTTTACTAACATCCTGATGTTCAGTGCATTCTATTTTATGTCACTAATTACAGTTTGAAAAAAAAGGAACAGCAATAGTGATAGGTGTAATTATTGAAAAACATGAGTCTAAACATAAAACAGACTGTAAAATGAGTGAAAGGAGTCCACTTCAGCCTGTCTCTGTAATAAAAGGAATACTGCAGATGTTGGAGGTCTGAAACAAGCACAGAGAATGTTGGAGAAACTCAGCAGGTCTGGCAGCATCTGTGGAGAGAGAAATAGAGTTAACGTTTTGAGTCTTGTATGTCATTACACAACTTTCAAGGCTCTGGGGTAAGTGCTGGAAAGTGGAACTCGGATAGTTTGGCGGCAGAGACTTGATGAGTCGAAGGACCTTTACTGAACTGTGTAACTCTGTGATTCTGCGACTTTTAAAAATTAATCTACGCTGTCTCAGTATCAGCCTGACCCCGCCTGACGATTCCACATTATTTGCTAAATGTTCGTCATTGCAAATGAAATGTGTTTAGCACACAATAAATATGTTGCAAATGTTAATGTATGATATTTATGCAAACTGATCATATTGTATTTTTACATGGGGCTCTGTTATGCATATTGACTTCATTGTTCATGACCACCACAGGAGAGAAATTAATACTGCAAGTAAAATGGCTCCGGAAGATGTAAGGGATAGCATTTGATGCAAGGAAATAGCTCTTGGCAGGCCAGTATAGGCAGTTTTTGATTCTTTTTTCCCCTTCCTTCTCAGGCTTTTACTTTGATCGATCAGAACAGAGATGGCTTCATTGACAAAGAGGATCTGAAAGACACTTATGCATCCTTAGGTAAATCCAAAACTGATCAAAGTCGTGTTTGTTCTTGATGAATGTGCATTTGATGTGACAGTTCAAATTCATCAATTGCCTTTTTGTGAAATTTGAACCCACATTCTCAGAACGTTAATCTGAATCCCTCTTTTGCCTACTTAGTGACATTACCATTCCACCACCATCTCCCCATTTTGAAGCTGGGTCAACATTGCTGCAGAGAGCATGTGGTATGGTACCCAAGCAGTAAAAATTTATTTATGTGGAGCTGGTTGAGGGATGGATGCTGACTGTGATATCCTGAGAATACTGTGCTCCACTTTGAAGAATACAGTGTTTGACATTATTCAGCTGTTGAAATGTATGTGACCTTGGTTTAACATCATGTCCAAAAAAATCTCCAGCAGCTTAAGCAATTATCTATTTTTAAAAATAGAACTGGTAGAAGGAAATCAGGAACTACAAACAGGTTACCTTGTGATGGGACTCTTCTTAAGGAAGTGCAGAATATTAGTCCACAGTTATAATAATGTGTTGGTCAGATTACAGAATGCTGTGGTCAACAACAATAAAAGATTTGTACACAGCAGAAAGAGAATGGAACAAAACTGATGCCAAATGTAAATAGAATTAACTATGAGTCTACAAGGAATACATTTAGGAGCAAAGTACATTCAAATTATTGAACGATATTACTGATATTATCTCAGGCAAATTAGGAACCAAAGATCAGAGCTAGATGCAGAAGTTTGTAGAAAACAATTTATACGAAATGTGCACAGGCAAATAATCTACTTAGATTGGGAGCCATTACTGTGAATGTCACTGATAAGTCTAATTAAGAATTCAGGGGAAATATCTTTACCGGGAAAGTGGTTAAGGTGAGTATTTAGCTTGCTCAAAAATGCTGCATTGGGAGAACCAGGAGAGATTCACTTTACAAGTCTCATCACATTTCTGACTTTTTTTCTTTTCAGGCAAACTCCATGTCAAAGATGATGAATTAGAATCCATGTTACGTGAAGCTACTGGTCCAATTAACTTCACCATGTTTTTAAATCTGTTTGGAGAAAAGTTACATGGTATGTTTTTAACCACTTCTTCCTTTTCTCTCCTTTCCTTGTGAACCGTGACCAAACTATGATTTATTTCATTTAACACAGGGTCTGATCCAGAAGAGGCGATGTTAAATGCATTTAAAATGTTTGATCCCGAAGCTAAAGGACACATCAACAAAGACGAGTATGTGCAATTTCTACTTTACTGGTATTTTTGCTGGTTCTTTGAAGTTTTAGTATTGCCTTTATTGTGCAGCTTCTGATGCTTCATTTGTGTTTTTTTTCCCTCTGCAGACTAAAGCATATGCTGATGACTCAAGCTGACAAATTCACTGCTGCAGAGGTTTGTATAAGGACTGAACTTAAGGCCTTTTCTTTGACAGATAATAGCTGCTCGTGTACTTTCAACCTGAAGCAGTACCATGCATGATGAGCTGAATGTAACATGTACATGACAGTCTGTCCACATTCCAACCCTACAATGGGACAAGTTTTGCACATTCTATAATGTGAACTTCCATCAAGGAAATAGCCTTCAGTAATTCAAATGCGATGTTTATTGTTAAATTATGCATGAAAATAATGGTGATTACATCAGCTCTGGTAGAGATTTTTAAAAAATGCATGTTAATAATTACTTCAGGTATGTATGAACTATATACATCTTAATAATACCTGCTGCAATCAATTTTCACATGACCTATTACATCCTTTGATATATTTGAACAGGTTGCCTGTACCAATCCAGGTTGTGTCTGCATGGATACCTAATTTCTTTATAATAATGCAGTGTTTTTCCTGTACCCAAAGCAAGTTACAATTTAAATGTATGAAACTGTGCCTAAGATCTGTCTATCCCTTTCTGTTTTTTTCTCTTTTCATGTACTGTAGGTGGACCAGATGTTTCAGTCTTCCCCAATTGATGCAGCAGGCAACTTGGATTACAAATCTCTCTGCTACATCATCACACATGGTGAAGAAAAGGAAGAGTGAATGGGACGTATAGTAGTTATTGGGCTGCTCAGATCTTTGCATTTCTCCTTTATTATCAAGTTACATCAACAGTGAATAAAACCACTTTGTAAATAGACCATGCTTCTGGCAGTTTATGTACTTCCCAATACCCATGACCTCAATGCAAATACACATTAATGACGTTGTACTTTATAATCCTGAAAATTCAAAGGCAGTATTGTACTAAACAAAATTGAATTATTCTAATTATTTAAAACCAACAACATACAAAACACTTACATGTGAGTTCTTAATGTTAAAATGAATTGAGTTACTACATGACTTGAATTAATTGAATCAAGCAATTAGAGGTAAAATGCATGGAATGGGATAACCTGGGAGTTTACAGGTCTTGTGTATTTTCTGAGTGTAACTTGCAATTGCCATGATAAATAGTTGTGATTGAGTGGTCCTCCATATCTGTACTTGGCAGTTAAGGAAACTCCTGAAATCCAAATGAATAGTGTGAGTGATTAGGGGAATCAGTAGAACTTGAACTTTCCTGGGTCTCCATTTAATGTTTGGGATTATAATGGGTTTGGGCTTCAAGTGGAGATCTGAGATGGGTTTGAAAGTTGCAAAAGCATTTTTGACCCTGCACTGTATCTTTGCAAAAGTAGCAGACCCCAGATCACAGAAGGTCAATTTACTGAACTATTTTCTTGATGTTTGCACTTCCATTGCAAATGAGAATGTATTAAGAGCACCGCATGAGCCATACCTGTGATGTCTTTTCATCCGTGGATGTTGGGAAGGGAAAGGGGCTAACCAGATCCCTTCTCCAAATTGGTACTGTGTGGGTGTCACTCCTACATTGCAGATGCTCCTGTGTTTAAATATTTGTATTTTCCTTTTTGAGTTCAGAACACAAGATCTTGATCAAATGGGCCAAGGAGTAGCAGAGGCAGTTTAATTTAGGTAAATGTGAGGTGTTGCATTTTGGTAAGGCAAACCAAGGCAGGTCTCATAAAGTTAATGATTGAGCCCTGGGGAATGTTGTGGAACAAAAAGACCAACCAGTACTGGTGAATAGTTCCTCAAAAATGGAGTCACAGGTTGATAGGATGGTGAAGAAGGCATTTGGCATGCTTGCCTTCATTGATAAGAACATTGAATATAGGAGTTGGGATGTCATGTTGCTGAAACACAGGACATTGGTGAGGCCAATGAAATACCGCGTACAATTCTGGTCTCCTTTCCACAGGAAGGATGTTGTTAAACTTGAGAGGGTGGAGAAAAGATGTACAAGTATGTTGCCAGGACTGGAGGATTTGAGCTACGGGGACAGGCTAAATAGACAAGGGCTTTTCTTCCCTGGAGCGTCAGGGGGCTGACCTTATAGAGGTTTATAAAATTATTAGCGGCATGGATAGGGTGAATAGCCAAGGTCTTTTTCCCGGGGTAGAAGAGTCCAAAACTAAAGGACATAAGTTTAAGGTGAGAGGGAAAAGATTTAAGAAGGACTTGAGGGGTAATGTTTTCACGCAGAGGGTGGTGCGTGTATGGAACGAGCTGCTGGAGGAAGTGGTGGAGACAGGTACAATTACAACATTTTAAAGGCATCTGGATGGGTATGCGAATAGGAAGTGTTTAGAGGGCTATGGACCAAATGCTGGCAAATGGGAGTAGGTCAGATTGGGATATCTGGTTAGCATGGACGAGTTGGACAGAAGGGTCTGTTTCTCTGCTGTATGACTCCATGAATCTATGATAACTTTTGTACGTATCACAAGGCTTTAATGCTGCTGGTAGTATTAGGCAGCGCTGAACTTAACCAGCACCTTGCAAGAATTGTTTGAATTCTTTACACCAGAGGACAGTGAAAGCTGTCTCATTGAGTATATTCAAGGTAGCAAGCAATGCATTTCTGAATATCACAGAGCAAGGAATATGGTAATCACTCAGGGAAATGGTTTCAAAGTAGATGATCAGCTATAATCTAGTGTGGCAGAATGGGTTTTGGCCAAATGGCTTATTCCTACTCCTATGTTCTTATGCATATATCTATTTCTGAGGGTGGGCGTATGTAAATTAGTGTGGTTGGTATGTCAGCATCAAATTATAAAATGACTCAATTTGCATATTTTGTAAATTCAAGATGCTCTGAAATGCTTAGAGATTGCATTCTTTTTGAAACATAGCAACTGTTGTAGGAAATGCAGCAGCCAGTTTGTTCATAGCAAGTTGCTACAAACTGCAATGAGATATCTGACAGATATCTGTTTTTGTGATACTAGTTCAGGGTTAAATTTGAGAGGGGTGAAGTTTCCTTCTCTACTTCAAGTAGTGCCATAAGATCATTTGATTGCCTTCACTTAACAACTGTACCTCCCAGCAGGGGAGCACCCCCTCTACACTACATTGCTATCAGTCTGCATTATATGCTTACATCTCTAAAGTGGCGGTTTGTTCTTTACTGACTCACAGGGTGGATCATTACCGTTGACCCCAATGTTTACCTATAAATTGGATTTAAGTGATTGCTGGTTAATGAATTATGATCCCAGCTTATGGTAATCTGGACAAGTCAAGTTCAAGGGTGAAACTTGGCTTGATCGATCACAGGTTTTATTTTTGCAATGTGGTTACTGTGACGGCCAGTCACTGAACATATTTATATGAGGCTGTCAATGTACTTTTAAGAAAAGAATATTAGTTTATTACACAAAAGAAATAAAAGGTACAGAAGACAATTTTGAGAGATCTTGATATAAACAGTAAAAATAAAGATTCATTATTTCCCCAGCAATATCTTTTACAGATATTCAACCCCAATGGAGCAAACCTCAAATCTTTTCTTGAAAATATCTTACTCCATTAACTAGGTTGAAAGCATTTTCTTTTGATAACTTTCAGCATGTTAACTGGATATGATTCTCTTTGTCTCTCACTGAGACTTACAGGCAACATAACTCACAGACTTCATTTTGACTATGATACTCAGAGGCTCCTAAAACAGCTTAGGGCTTCTTTGCAGTTCTGCTGGCCTGGAGTCTACTGAAAACTAAACTTCTGCTAAGTATTTTGAACTGAACCTATTTCTGACCCCTGGCCATCTGTCTTTCTGTGAATTGTTAAAAACTCAAATCAACAATATATAGCAATTATTTCACCAGATAGCTTGTTGAGTAATTTAGTTTAAGTCACATGATTTCTTTGTAAGGATGTTTCAAGTTCGCTGTTCCAAGTTACTTTCTGACCCTTTCTTTAAAAAAAAATCCAGACCTTCACAGCACTGAAACTCAAAAACTCATTTACCTCTAGAATCCAAGTTCCTAAACATTAAAAATATCTTTTTCATGTTAAACACAGGTTAAGTAAAGCAATGCTATAATATTAAATATAGTTATTTGCGATATCCATCATATGCTCTCCTACTAATAATAAAATCTGGACTGCTCTCTTTGGGAAACTGAATTAAAATACACAGTTAAAATAATTACAGATTTAAAATATAAATGGCGATAACTTATGACATATTTAATTACTGATTTCCAGTTTTCCTCACCCTTCCTTCCCTGGTAAATGTTGCCAGATTTCCTCTAATATCTTCCCCGAATGCTTGTGGATATGAAATGAGGTGAATAATGACTGTCAGTAGATTGTGTGAATGATTACCACAAGCAATCGTAATCCTATCTTCACTAGTTATAGCATTTCCAGGAGGGACGGTTGAGGATTAATCAGGACTGAGAAACCCGCTGATGGTAGTGTTTTAGTCAAGGCCATGGCCAACAAGTTCAGTGTCATCACTGCAGATTGAAGCATTAGTGATTCTAGATTTTGTCCTCAGTTATTTATTGAAGAACCTTCCTAAACCATGAGTGGCCTCATCGGTGTGAACTCAGTTCCCACACTGTCAGGATCAATAATGACATCAAATCTGTTCCACCAGTGGAAATAACATTTGTGAATTAACAACACTGAAGAAAATCATAACAGTCGAAATAAAATGCAAATGGTGTCAACATCACAACTGTTGGATTTCTAAAATAAATTGCCGACTATGACAGTCTCACTAGAAAGAAGTGGAATGTGATACACATAAATCAAGCTATTCCTTTGATATCTACTTGTACTTTTTGTTTTTTTTTATATATATAAAGCAGACATTGTCAAGCACACAATGTATTTACTCTCTTACTACCTGTAACCAAGTGTTTTGTATGAAAGAAGTTCTTTTTCTTACCCTTGATGTATGCATTCAATTTAAATTTTTTCATCAGCAAGTTTTTATGAGTTTTAACACACAGAAGGTTGATCATTCTCACACATTTACCCTGGATTACTTCAATGTCTCACACATTTGTTCCCATACATATGCTGACATACAAAGATTAGATACAAGCAAAGGTAAATTACTTTTACCAATTGTGGTTACTTGGTCTCTGGTTTCTGATAGTTGATCTTCCCCATGGCAGGCCTGTGAAAGCTTGGATGATTTTCATATTTTAAAGTTGAATTGAGGGTCTTATAAAGTGAAGGATACACAGCAGGTTATGGGGCTTCTTATTGTCAGGTTTACAGGGGTTGGTTTTCAAGTAAGCTTTAAACTGGAACTGGTTACGTACTTTGGCTGCCTGTTGCTTTGTAACTTGCTTCTGAGTCTTGTTCACAGACTGGCCGAACAGATATCTTTGCAGGATCTCTCTGCAAGCACATCTGGCTGATCTTTTGAACAGATAAAGGAAACATGACTGTCTCCACGTGGCTTTTCAAATGTTAAAGTCTCTTTCAAATAAGGAATAGTGTTCATGTTAATTCCACATCTTGTGCTGTGGCTTAACACCTCTGAGGTCTACAGTGTCTCATTTGAATGGGGAAAGACATTGTGATATAATAGGGATTACTTAGTGGCTATTCACTTCTCAAGACAGAACATGCTGGAGAAAGTCAGCAGGCCTGGCAGCATCTGTGGAGAGAAAGCAGAGTTAACATTTCAGGTCCAGTGACTCTACTTCAGAACAGTTCTTCACTTCTCAAGAAGGGTCACTGGACCAAAAGTTAAGTCTGCATTCTGTCCACAGATGCTGCCGGATCCATTGAGTTTCTCCAGCATTTTCTGTTCTTGTTCCT